TACTTTGTCCGGGGAGGGTTTGGAGCCGTCTTGGTCAATAAGGTGACCAAGAAAGACTATCTCCGATTTACCAAACTCACATTTGGGAACGTTAATTTTGAGGCCAACAAGTTTGAGGCGTTCAAAAACGATTCGAAGGTGTCCTTGATGTTCCTGTGTGGAGGAAGAAAAATGAGGATGTCGTCCAGATAGACGAAAACGAAGTCGAGATCACTTAGAGCCCTATTGATGTACCTTTGAAAAGATTGTGCGGCGTTTCTGAGACCGAATGGCATGAAGATGTACTCGGACAATCCAAATGGCGTGGTAACTGCAGTTTTTACCACATCGGTAGGGGCTACAGGAATTTGATAATACGATTTGTAAAGATCAAGCTTCGAGAAGACCTTCTTGCCGAGTAGATTGACTGAATAGTCATGCAAGTAAGGAATAGGGAATTTATCTGGAACTGTCATGGCGTTGAGGCGACGGTAGTCGCCACAGATTCGCCAAGAACCATCTTTTTTCCGAACCATATGAATAGGACTGGCCCAGGGGCTCTTGGAGTATCTGCAAATGCCTTGGTTGACCAGCTTCTCAAATTCTTCCTAAGCTGCCTTGTATTTTTTGGGGTCGAGGAGCCAAGTGCGCTCCGTGACAGGAGGACCATTGGTCTAGATGTGATGAAATACATCTTTAGCTGTCAGGGGCGAGGCTGGCTTTTCGCCAGTCACCTCTGGAAAATCCAAAAGAAGCTTGGAGTAAGAGGAGTTTGGGTCCACGATGCTAAACGAGGAAAAGCAGTCAGTCGTTTTGATGGAACCAATAGAAAAATCGTTACAATGATCCTGCGCCAACGAACATCAACAATTAGCCCAAAAAAATTCAAGAAGTCAGCGCCAAGGATTGGGCTCGGAACGTCGGCATAACGGAATTTCCAAGGAAAGCGACGTTTAAGACGTAAATGAAGAGCCATATCAACTTCACCGTAGGTGTTGATGGTTGAATTGTTGGCCGCAAAGAGCTTAAAGTTCGAAAGTTTGGCATTGGGATCTGTCTTAGGGAGGAGGGAGATTTCCGCTCCTGTGTCAACCAAGAAGACTTTGCCAGAGTCGATATCCCGAATGTGGAAGCGTTTTGAAGTTGAGGTCCCACTCGACGCTTCTACACGAGAGGGAGAATCTAGTTTTTCGGTGATTTTCTTGGGCAATTGCCACCTTTACAGAATCGAGCTTTGTCGCCGAATTTTTCATGATAATAACAAAGATGATCACCAGTGGGTTTCTTTTGGTTGCTTTTGCTTCTGTTCCTGTTAGATTTTCCGTAATTTCGCAACTGGGAGCGGTTTCGCTGCGGAGTTTTATGAGGATCGGGAGCATTACCCATAATAATGTCTAACTGCTTTTTGAGATCGTCGACGTTAAAGGACAGCTGCTCTAGAGTGTCGAAAGACTTGTCGTCCATTGAAGAAATCTGAAAACGACCAGCCGATACTTTAGCTGGTAGAGCAGAAATTTGAGAGGAGATTGAGGTAGCTGCATCATTGTAGGTATTATGTGAGTTGACAGACGAGACATTGCATCCATTAGGTGGAAGAGCAGCATAAAAGCGGTGAGCCGCCTCGGCTAACAGTGTCAACGAGGTTATGTTGTGAATGGACAAAGCAGCGCGACAGGTGGGGGAAAGTTGCTCCAGAAAAACCACTCGGAAGATGTCGTCCCCGCAACCAGTCTCCAAGGCACGTATGCGAGCTAGAATGAGCGAAGGTTTTCCCTCAAGCGAGACCTGATTTCGCAATAATTGACGGAGGCGTTCTTCCGCTGAGCCGCCATATTTTTTTAATTGTTCGTAGAGATCTGCTAGACACGGGGTTAGATTTAACAAATCGATCGCGCAGAGAACGTGATCTCCAAGCTTTTCCACCACAAAATCCGCTTGCATAACTGAATTTGTTATTTTTGCATTTCGAAGAGAAATTTCCGCAAGAGTGAACCAAGCATGCGAGTTGGTTCCATTGAATAGCGAGATTTTGGGCGCGTGGTACGCTGCTACGTTTGCCGGGAGGTTACCAGAATTTTCGGTAGGCTGTGGTCTACGTTCGAGTTCTGCAATTTTATTGTTTGCTGTAGCTAGCTGTGCTATCAGCTGATCGAATTGCTCTTTGGTCACTTCCATAATTGTTACAGAATAAATAGAGCACGCAAAAAAAAAAATAAAAAGATTAAAATGAAGATTAATCCGTTAAAAAAATAAAATGTCGGAATGAGCAATAACAGTAAAACGCAGTTAAAATAAAAATTGTCGGATCAGTGAATTACAATTATACGATTTGCTCGCTTACTATTAAAAAATGACATTTGTTTATTGTAACCAGTGGAAACGCAAGAGTGTTTAAAATTAAAACGTACACATCCGAAAATAATGTAAGATTACAATAGGAATATCAAATTCGCAATAAAAAGTAAGTAAAAAGCACGTATAAATAATCCCTTCTTGGAATAGCGACAGTTGTCAGCAGCGCGAGAGTCGTACACACTTCCAAGAACTAACAACGGTTGACGCATGCGAACAAAAGAAGACGCGAAAGCACGTGTGTACAAACTTCAAAATAGAAAAGCGTAAAACGCGCGCACTTTTTGGTTAACGCTGTGTGTTGTTTAAAAAAGAAAAACGACTCTAAAATGTCTTGTGCACTGATACTCAAACGATGTGTACGTGTACCTGTGACGAGTTGTTATGCTCCTTAGGTTGAACTCGTGGCGATGATGCGAACGCTGCCTGCTGTGCAGAAGGTTGAGAAGGCGATGACGAATGAGAGTAGGCTTGCCTGCTTATCAGCCCTGAGGATGATCGCCTTGAGCCTTAAGATCGCAGCATGGCTTGTTTGTCGCTTGTTTGCTCGCTCAGCGTGATCCTGGTGTAGGGTCATGTTGTTTAATTGTCGGGGTCACCAATTTGGGGTATTTGCTAGGTGGTTGGTACTGCAGTGCTGTAGGTCACCAAGCCAGAAGGAAGGCAGCCCCCAAATTCTGCCGTATTCAAGAGATTCACCAGGAGGTGAATCGGGCCAGGATAATGATGTACTCTTTTAGTTATTAAACGACAACAACTTGTTTATTCAATATGCAAAGTTACATGTGCCTAGTGGCACGAGCTATGAGTATAGCCCGGAGCGAGTACGCTTGAGCGGCGACTGTGCGAGAACTGAACTGCGCAGCTCGACAAAGACGATAGGAGAGAGGCGCGCGGGGAGAGGGGAACGCCGCTGTTCTTGTCCGACGAGACAGAGTCCCCACAATACAATGTAAAAATTTAAGATAATTGTTTATAGTATAAAATGCATGGTGATATAATATTAATACAAATAGGTAAAGTTGTCACTGATAAATAGTATTGTTGATCTCAGAGGTTATAGTTTTATACAATGTAAGTGACAAATAGAACGCAAGACGTCTAGTTTTTTGTGATGTATTTCAACGCAGGGATGTATATTTTAAAAATAATTTAAGTAAAATATTTCTAGACTTACAATTTTTATTACATGTTGAGGATGTAACGCGCCTATTTTCTAGTTTCTTACGTCTAGTAATTTTATTGTACAAAGTTACTCTTATTTCATCACTAGTTGATGTAGTTCTTGAAAATATTGAACAAAACATACCCAAAGTATAATTATGAGACATAAAAAACAAAAAATCGACATAGAAATGACCACAAACTCAAGAGTCAATACTCTGCAGTTGTTGTACGTTCCACTCGTAACTAATACAGTTTCGTCTAAGTCGATCAACATGGTGTGAGACAGCGGGTGGCAACCCATAACTGTCAAAGAAAACTCCGTGTCCGCTGGTATCGATATAGAAGGCAACCCAATGCGTGCCAGGTTTTGTGCTCTCGTCTGTATGAGCTACAAGGGCACACGGACTCGTCTAAACAAACGGCAGCTTGTCTGCTGGAAATACCTCGACTGTCGGTGTCGTAATATGCCGCAGCGCTTTTTGTATTTGTCGTGAGCTTATCTTCCCTTATTTCGGCGTACACAGATGCAGTACAGCCCCCACTTTTTCTAGATTTATAAAGATTAATGCTATTCATGAGGTTCCCGACCTCTTGTGTAGCAGCAGCAGCAGAGGAGGATGACGACTGGTTTAAACGTGCAGGTTTTATTATCAGCTCTTGAGTTTTTTTTTTACATCTAAAGCATTATCTGGTGTTGCGTAAGAGGGAATAACTTCTGTAGAGNTTTTTAGTTGTTTTTTTTTTTTTTTTTTTTACATCTAAGGCATCATCTGGTGTGGCGTGAGAGGGAATAACTTCTGTACAATGCACTGACTTGTTGATCCAGGTTTGTAACTTATAAACACGAGCTAGAACACAGCTGAAAGCTTCCTTTTTTCGACCATGATGACAGCAAAAGTAATCATTATCACGAGAAAGATTTTTAAAAGATAAGCAAGAGTACTTTTCGAGATTTATTATTTGACGATCCAAAACTTTTTCCATTAATTTTTGCTTTTGATTACCTCGAACGTAAATGTGAAGAGCACTTCTTGCTACGTCACGTAGAGCGCTATATACGTCCTCGATATCAGCTTCACCATCAAACTACTCGAGTCCGTAAAAATAACACGTTAAATAACTGTTTGTAGCTAAAAGTCCTGACGTCAATTACGTAGTGTTATAGGGTGGTTTTATAATCCAAGGTGAACTAAAATTACAGTCAACACTCATCACTGCGATTTCTTTTGGTAAAAAATCACCATTTTTATCGTAAAATGCTTGAATATCTACGATGAAATTAACTTTTTCCATAGTTTTTTGTGAGCAGCTACGTCCACTGTCTTAAATGGTACGCGGCATACTGATCGTTCGACGAAAGATTGGAGACTACGAGATGAAGAAAAAACGTTTGTAGCAGCGCTTAAGAAGTGGTAGTGAATATGAGAAGAGGAGTGATGGGGGGTAGTGGTGGTAGTGGTAGTACAAGGGAAGTAATAAAATGAGAGAAAAAAAATGTCTTTTTAGGCGTTGAAATCCATAACTATCTGACAGTTTAAATCTATTTCTAACATAGTTGTAGAATAACACGTTGTCAAATTCTGAGTAAAGAACGCAATTTATCGTTTTTGTCAAAGACGTCTCAAAACGTACTTCTATTCTGACGGAACCATTTTTTACTAAATTCCAATGACCTGCAAAGTGCGCGGACAAATCTAGTGTAAGATTAAATGCAAAAAGACAATAACCTTATGTATAATATTTTCTGTGTATGTTGTTTCCCTCGTTCATGTAATGTATTCTGGAGCCAGAAAATAATGTATGATAAGCTTCAACGTACATAGATCCACTTCCTGTAAAAGTAGGTTGTAATGGTTTGCTTGGAATTTGTACTCCATCAACGTATAATGACAAAAAATTAATAGAGTAATTTTGGGTATTAAAGGGGTTAAGTTTTGTGTCCCCGTTGAAAGCTTTGTTGTCGACGAAACCTAGTATTGTTCTTTTTGGTAACTGACCAAGAATAACGTTTCCTAAACGGTCGCCTGTAATACCGCTGTGCATAGTAAAAGATTTAACTTCCACACGAGTGATTGGATATTTTGCAGTAGTGCTCGCTAAAGCCTTTGCATGTGCAATCAAAACTGTGGGGCTTACTTTTACTCGTCGTACAAGAAGTGTTGCTTCGGTAATACTGACTGAATAATTCATTGTAGATGCATCCATCAAACAAAATGCATCCTTCGAACGAACCAGACGTAGACGAACTTCGACACCATTTAATAAAAGTTTATCTTGATTAAACACGTCACAATTCAAATGACCCATCAAGTCCACTGTCATACCATCCTTTATATACTCGTGACGTTTTGTGAGAGATATATTTTTCTCTGATCCAGGTAGTTCATCCATTTCACCAGCTACATCGGTTTCCCAAAGACTCGTGGACAAGTGAGAAGTTTTTGCTGCAGGTCCGTAATTAAATATTGTTTCGATGTATACTCTGTACGGGTAAGCATTGTTAGAAGGGGTCACTGGTTTTTGATTGAAATATACGTCAACTTGATTAAACATGGAGTGTAAGAAGTTGTTTACTTGGAGCCACAGACGCATCTGTATCCTTGTTGTAAGGTATTAATTTTACATTAACTCTCAGCATTGTGTGATCGAGGTCCAAATAATCCTTATTTTGAGAGTTTATGACAAACTCTATCGGACTTTTGTCAGTTAGTGATGAAACAGGTTTATAATAAACCCATCGACTTGCCTCTAACGCTGTCTGAGTAAAAGGAAGAGAAAATAAATCCAACTCACTCTTGAGACACGGATCAGTGTGGCTATGCAAAAAAGACATTATTAATACTTAACTAAAAGTATCGGTCGCTTTAGATTCCCTTTTTTCTGCCCTTTTTTACTCTTTTAACAGTTAACACGCTTAATTTTTTTTACTATTCTTTTTTTTTCCTCCTCTGGTCTTATTCTTTTTAACAACACTTTTCTTTCGTTCACGTTTTGCCACTCGAGATGTTTTCTTTTTAGCACGAGTCGTAGATATGGGATGGGTAGCGCTTCTGCTACGAGACTGCGCTCAACGTTTGTACGGTAAAGCATTATATCCGGATCCTTCCATTAATATAACAAGCTTTTCTGTTACCTTACGTTTCAAGTTTATACCTGATTTGGTTGCACGATTTGTCGATGCATCTTTAAATGGTAAATTACGTTGACCAATGTTATCAATTATATTTACACCAGCTTGGAAAGCTTCTATTCCAATAGCGCGGACACCTTTTGTTATATCACCAAATTGAACTTCTACCAAAATGAACTTTTTTAGCATCCAAGTTAACTATTTGTAATAAAGGTGCAAATGTGTCCGCAACAGTACATGGTTCACATATATTAGACTAAACAAAAAGTTGATCGGGCACTGCTCTTGACATGCTTGCCGGCTGTTTACCGTTAATTAACATTCGGTAATCATCCTTTATTCCTGCACAATCTTTGTTGATATGAATTATTCCTTCTTCAAATCCTAAAATGCGTTGTACTGCGTTTTATAACCATGGTAGTTTTCCACCCTTATCTACTTCAAAATGTTTCATTATAAATGAAAACACCGTTCCTTGTTTTTTAAGGTGGGTACACCAATAAATACAAATCCACCGTCCATGTTATAAATTAACTTACGCTGATATTCTTTATCTTCAGAGATATATTCCATCCATTTATTATTTATTGCGTCACATAAGATATTCATCGAGTCGTATGTACCATGTTGAAAATAACATTCTGATTTATCCTCAGATGCTCTGAGTAAAGCGTCCTCTCGAGTGACATGTAAAATAGTGCACGGTACATGAATCTCGGAAATTCCAACTTCCCATTTTTCACACAGCTCGATTTCTTTTAGTAATTGAGAAGGAAAATTCGTTGTAGTATTGTTAGGAAAATATTTCACACTGCTGTTGCTTGGCAAAGTTATCATAAAATCGTTATGAACCATCTCTCGAGTCTCTTCCAAGAATTCACGAATTAAACTTTTCTGGATAACCCACCCAACTAACAAAATATTGTTTGTTCCTTCCCTTTCCTTTAAATCGAATTATTTTTTTAATTTTATGCTCCTGATCTAATACTCGCTCTTTAGCAACTGAGCTGAGCATCAATTAAGTCTTGTACTACATCGATGTAGCGGTATGTATTTTATTATGTAAAATATCTGTACATACGTTCCTTGAGTGTTCGTATGAAACGCTCTACTACAGCTGCTTTAAAGTCAGGGTTACTCACAATCCGAAATTTAATTCCATTATGCTTTAACAACTGTTGGAACTCACTTCCTAAAAATTCTTTTCCCTGATCTGTTTGGACTGTTTTTGGATATCGATAGTGTTTATTATTAAGTATTTTTTTAAAAGCTGTGGTAACTTCACTGCAAGTCTTATCGCATAATGGATGAGCCCATACAAATTTACTCAAAATATCTATTGCAACGAGAATGTACGACATACCAATGTTGTAATTTTTGATAGACGTCAATTGAATGAGATCAGTCTCCCACAAGTCATCTAAAGCGTTGACATCGTAAAAAAGGCTTGGAAACTTACGTCGAATAGTTTTGTGTAACGTGTAAACGACTTGTCCCTTCAACCATTCCTTTATTTTATCTGATAAAACATTTTTATTTCATATTATTAAGTTTCTAGCCCCGGTAAAACCAGATTCATGACTGGATGTAAGATATTGTTTTTCCAACGCGTCCATTTTTTCAAAATCTAAGCCACTGTCCTCCTCCTACTTCTCGTCCCTATTGCAAAGTTTTAGATGTCTTGGATAGACTTTTGATGTCGCTTTTAATAATTTTATTCTCTTAAATAGTAGTTTCCCCAAATAAGTGATACGCTTCACTGCCGTCCTTACTCGACAATTCATCGGTAAAATCGTCATAGTCACGGTCTATCTTCTCTCTCGAGTTGAATAATTTTTTACGAGTCTTTGATAAAGTCTCGACTCGATTGACATTATGAGTCTTCCACTGGTCATCATTTCCTACAAACCCTCGAGGAGTAACGATCTCGTGCAACATATTACCAAATAATTTTACGGTTATTCTTTTTTAAATAATTCAAAAGTAATTCATACTTTTTTAATATGCTTTAGGTATAGTTTTCAGAATCATATCGTCACTCATTCGATCATTTGTATCATATTTTTTCTCCTCTTTTTCCGTTGATACGTATGGATTTCTTTGTTCGTCTATGAAATGAAAGTAGCCTCGTAAGACTCTTAATATTCTTTCGATTTTTCACGTTCGTCGTTCGACCCATTGGAGTCAAGAATTTGTTTCATTTTATTATCTAAACGACTGAGGTTGTTTCCAACAGTTTGTGTAGATTTTAAAACTCGTTGCGATAAAAAATCGTTAGCAGCAGTAGAAACAAGTATTACAGCTTCATTGAGGGATTTTACATTTTTACTGTGTATTCTTTCTAGCTGTTCTTTCGAAATTAAAATCATTTTTTTTATTTCTTCATCCACTTTAAATCTTTTTATTTTATTAAGCTCTTGATAATGTTGCGCTTAACACCGCTCGAAGTATAAAAGGTAAGAAACCATTACCTTATTGTACGATAATTTTCTTTTTTTTCCAAGAATCTTCACTGTCGCAGCTTCCTTCCTTTTTCTTTATCTTCTTCTTCTCAGACACTACTTTCCTTAACACAATTTAACATTTTTCAAGTTTTGACTTTTGAAATTTTTTTCAAGGAACAACACCTTTTAGTTTATTGAGAACACACTCGCAAATACAATGAGTTAATTTTTTATCGGCTTTTTTTAATAATGCAACACGCTGATCTTTATTTCAATGCTTGAGAGCTTCCAATATTTTCATATGTTTTTTTTTCAAATGGTATCTTTAAAGAAAACGAAGAGTTTGAGGACCTATGACTGTTTCGGCGACCAAAGTGTTGACCTGTCATCTGTTGTGATGCAGATGCTTCCGTCGTTCAAACAAAACTGAAGATACAAACTCACTGACCAGTATTTTAAACAAAATTTTATTTTTTACCTTAAGCGATGTAAGTACAGTTACTGTGTACGTATTTTGGTAAATATACATACTGATACTGATCATCAGGAAATATGCACGTACAAAGTCTAAACTCGTCCAGTTTATCCTGTTTACAATCGATCAATAAATACCCATGTCCCTTTATCATTGCATCCTGATAGACTTCTTGTACAAATTTAAAATTTTCGAGAAAATTTGTCTTGCTAAGTGTTGTATTTGAGCACGATCACGAAGATTTTTAAACATAACAATAAAAAAAGTGATGAGACTTATATCACGCGAATGAGTAGACTTCTACGATACACTGGACGAGTTTAGACTCTGTACGTGCATATTTCCTGATGATGAGTATCAGTATGTATATTTACCAAAATACGTACACAGTAGCTGTATTTACATCGCTTAAGGTAAAAAATAAAATTTTGTTTAAAATACTGGTCAGTGAGTTTGTATCTTCAGTTTTGTTTGAACGATGGAAGCATCTGCATCACAACGGATGACAGGTCAACACTTTGGTCGCCGAAATAGTCATAGGTCCTCAAACTCTTCGTTTTCTTTAGAGATACCGTTTGAAAAAAAAACATATGAAAATATTGGAAGCTCTCAAGCATTAAAATAAAGATCAGCGTGTTGCATTATTAAAAAAAGCCGATAAAAAATTAACTCATTGTATTTGCGAGTGTGTTCTCAATGAACTAAAAGGTGTTGTTCCTTGAAAAAAATTACAAAAGTCAAAACTTGAAAAATGTTAAATTGTGTTAAGGAAAGTAGTGTCTGAGAAGAAGAAGATAAAGAAAAAGGAAGGAAGCTGCGACAGTGAAAATTCTTCGAAAAAAAAAGAAAATTATTGTACAATAAGGTAATGGTTTCTTACCTTTTATACTTCGAGCGGTGTTAAGCGCAACATGATTAAGAGCTTTATAAAATAAAAAGATTTAAAGTGGATGAAGAAATAAAAAAAATGGTTTTAATTTCGAAAGAACAGCTAGAAAGAATACACAGTGAAAATGTAAAATCCCTCCATGAAGCTGTAATACCTGTTTCTACTGCTGCTAACGATTTTTTATCGCAACGAGTTTTAAAATCTACACAAACTGTTGGAAACAACCTCAGTCGTTTAGATAATGAAACAAATTCTTGACTCCAATGGGTCGAACGACGAACGTGAAAAATCGAAAGAATATTTAAGAGTCTTACGAGGCTACTTTCATTTCATAGACGAACAAAGAAATCCATACGTATCAACGGAAAAAGAGGAGAAAAAATATGATACAGATGCAAATGATCGAATGAGTGACGATATGATTTTGAAAACTATACCTAAAGCATATAAAAAAAGTATGAATTACTTTTGAATTATTTAAAAAAGAATAACCGTAAAATTATTTGGTAACATGTTGCACGAGATCGTTACTCCTCGGGGGTTTGTAGGAAATGATGACCAGTGAAAGACTCATAATTTCAATCGAGTCGAGACTTTATCAAAGACTCGTAAAAAATTATTCAACTCGAGAGAGAAGATAGACCGTGACTATGACGATATTACCGATGAATTGTCGAGTAAAGACGGCAGTGAAGCGTATCACTTATTTGGGGAAACTACTATTTAGGGAAAATAAAGGAATGGTTGAAGGGACAAGACGTTTACACGTTACACAAAACTATTCGACGTAAGTTTCCAAGCCTTTTTTACGATGTCAACGCTTTAGATGACTTGTGGAAGACTGATCTCATTCAATTGACGTCTATCAAAAACTACAACATTGGTATGTCGTACATTCTCGTTGCAATAGATATTTTGAGTAAATTTGTATGGGCTCATCCATTATGCGATAAAACTTGCAGTGAAGTTACCACAGCTTTTAAAAAAATTCTTAATAATAAACACTATCGATATCCAAAAACAGTCCACACAGATCGGGGAAAAGAATTTTTAGGAAGTGAGTTCCAACAGTTGTTAAAGCATAATGGAATTAAATTTTGGATTGTAAGTAACCCTGACTTTAAAGCAGCTGTAGTAGAGCGTTTCATACGAACACTCAAGGAACGTATGTACAGATATTTTACATATAAAAATACATACCGTTACATCGATGTAGTACAAGACTTAATTGATGGGTACAATAAATCACCCCACTCCACAATCAAGCTAGCACTCAGTGCAGTAACTATACATAACGCGCACGTTGCGAGAAAAAATTTAGTAAACCCACGAATACAAGAGCAAAAACATCGTCAGAATCATCAAGCTAAATCAAAGTTTAAAGTGGGAGACTACGTGCGTATCAGTCGCGAGAAAAACGTATTCGAAAAAGGCGCCGTGAAATCCTGGAGTGAAGAAATATTTAAAATTGTCGGTGTCACCAAAAGACAGAATTTAAACACATATTATTTGCATGATTTGGATGGTGAAAGTATTGAGGGATTTTTTTACCCTGAGGAGCTTAGCTCAGTCGCTAAAGAGCGAGTATTAGATCAGTAGCATAAAATTGAAAAAATGATTCGATTTAACGGAACGGGAAGAAACAAACAATATTTTGTTAGTTGGGTGGGTTATCAAGAAAAGTTTAATTCGTGAATTTTTGGAAGAGAATCGAGAGATGGTTTATAACGATTTTATGATAATTTTGCCAAGCAACAGCAGTGTGAAATATTTTCCTAACAATACTACAACGAATTTTCCTTCTCAATTACTAAAAGAAATCGAGCTGTGTGGAAAATGGGAGGTTGGAATTTCCGAGATTCATGTACCGTGCACTATTTTACATGTCACTCGAGAGGACGCTTTACTCAGTGCATCTGAGGATAAATCAGAATGTCATTTTCAACATGGTACATACGACTCGATAAATAGCTTATGTGAAGCAATAAATAGTAAATGGATGGAATATATCTCTGAAGATAAAGAATATCAGCGTAAGTTAATTTATAACATGGACGGTGGATTTGTATTTATTGGTGTACCCACCTTAAAAAACAAGGAACAGTGTTTTCATTTATAATGAAACATTTTGAAGTAGATAAGGGTGGAAAACTACCATGGTTATAAAACGCAGTACAACGCATTTTAGGATTTGAAGAAGGAATAATTCATATCGACAAAGATTGTGCAGGAATAAAGGATGATTACCGAATGTTAATTAACGGTAAATAGCCGGCAAGCATGTCAAGAGCAGTGCCCGATCAACTTTTTATTTACTCTAATTCAGATTGATTGTTAGCCATTCTGTATTCTTTTTGTACTATTATACCAATTTGATTTTTATTTAGAAATTTTTTTCTGTACACACGTATGCTGGTTGAAGCGATCATTGTGCATTCCCCAAAAGGGTCCATCTTAAATTTTTCAAAGGTTTTTCGAAAAGCTGAGCAAGNCTAATCTTGAAATTTTAACGTCTTGCCTACAGTATTTTATAATTTTATTTTTAAAGTCAAATATATAACTATTTTCTACTTGTTCATTGTACCATTTTAAAAATTGATCTCAACCTTTCGTATGCATGCTATCGGGTAAATATACGTCGAGCGGCGGTAGAGGACTTATGTACAATTGATTTTCGAGCTAGTTAAAAAAATTTGGAAAAATACCTTTTTCAACTTCCGAAAGACCGTACGACTTGGGTAAGCCGCTTAAAGGCATATGAAAGTAATTAAGACTGTCGATAAATTTTATATTCATAAATTCCGTCAATATTATTTTTGATCCGTTCATGATAACGGATGGTACTACGCGTTCGCCGTGTTTTTCCACTATATACTTAAAAATAAATTGAGCATGGAATCCTTAATCATTGTGAGCTATGCAAATGATCTTGTCAAAATATTTTTGATAATCCGAAGCAAGATCTACCAACTGTTTGATTGGAATAATTTGAAAAATATATTCTCGAATGCCGCAATGATCGCAGCTTATCGAAATATCTTGTACGTTGCTACAAACATTACAAACTTGTTAAACGATACACAGATTTACTTTGTGAATTTTTTTTTTCCTTATTATCCGCGATGGGTGT